GAACAAGGTGTGATTTGTTTTTTTGGCCAGATCCTCCAAAAATATACTTTCCTGGAAAGTCTTTCAAGTCCTGATCTGTGCGCCGAACCATTGCAGAGCGTAAAAAAAGGAAAAAAAACAATACAACACGCTCCAAGCGTGTCCTGGCTTGCAGAGATGCTTCAACTAGGTCCTCCAGTAGAGAGATTAGAACAAGGGTACCAACTTTTTTCTGTAGTCTATTTGTGTAGGGGAACCGTCCCCCTACTAAAAGGTTGAGAAAGGGCAATGGGGGACCTGGGTACTCATCTGCTTCACCCTTCGAGCTTTCAAAGACCAAGAGTGGTGCAGTCTACGGGGAGCTGGTTGGCAAAAGACCTGCTCGAAAAACCTGCGTGGGCATCGGACACCTGTGGTACCACATGACTTGTGGGTCTTTGAGAACTTCCTGGGTGTGGTTTTCTAGGCTTTTTGGGCGTTCCTATTTTGACCCTGGTTTCTGAACAAGTCCAACAAAATTTAGGGCTCCAGTGTGGATCATGATTTGGACTGGGCAAAGCCATAGAACAGGTCCAGGAATAGGAGGCTCCTACTAGAATAGGACGCGAATAAACATATTGTTGTGTTGTCTCTCTAAAGCCTTTTATCGCATAATATTGCAAAGACTGAACGGAACGGGGAGTGCACAGGATGGCTAAGGGGAGGAATCAACTCCTCAAACGCCCGCCCTTGGATTTCACTACTCTCCTGATATGTTGAATTCATTCCTCCAATCCATTCTACATGAATATTGCATAAGTTTCGTTGAAAAAATCATAATACCAGCGTTCCTCTTCTTTCCCTTCATGAACACCCTGAACACCCTGAACACCCTGAACATTTTGAACACCCTGAACACCCTGAAAACCCTGAACACCCTGAACACCCTGAACACCCTGAACACCCTAAAAACCCTGAACACCCTGAACGGCCTGAACACCCTGAAAACCCTGAACACTCTGAACACCCTGAACACCCTAAACACCCTGAGAACCCTGACCCTGAACACCCTCAACACCCTAAACACCCTGAACACCCTCAAAAAACCCTGAACACCCTCAAAACCCTGAACCCTCAACACCCTGAACAGCCTGAACAGCCTGAACACCCTCAACACCCTGAACACCCTAAACACCCTGATCACCCTGAACACCTGAACACCCTGAACACCCTGAACACCCTGAACACCCTGAACACCCTGAACACCCTGAACATGCTGCACACACCCTGAGCACCCTGAACACCCTGAACACCCTGAACACGCTCTGAACACTGAAAAGCCTCGCTGAACACCCTGAACACCCTGAACACCCTGAACATTCTGAAAACCCTGAACACCCTACTGAACACCCTACTGAACACCCTTGAACACCCTGAACACCCTGAACACCCTCAACACCTTGAACACCCTAAAAACCCTGCACACCCTGAACACCCTGAAATCCCTGAAAACCCTGAACACTCTGAACACCCTGAACACCCTAAACACCCTGAAACCCCTAAACATCCTGAAATCCTGAACACCCTAACGCCCTGAACACCCTCAACACCCTAACCTGAACACCCTGAACACCCTGAACACGCTGAACACCCTGAACACCCTGAACACCCTGAACACCCGGAACACCTGGAACACCAACACTCTGAACACCCTGAACACGCTGAACACGCTGAACACCCTGAACACCCTGAACATTCTAAACACCCTAAACACCCTGAACACCCTAAACACCCTGTGCATCCTGAACACCCTAAACCGTTTAGCCTAAACCAACCTGAGCCGGAACACCCTGAACACCCTGAACACCCTGAAATCCCTGAAATCCCTGAACAGCCTGAACACCCTGAACATGCTGAACACCCTGATGGCGGAGGTGTCAAGTCCACCAGTGCTACACCCACGCCAGCGACTCTGACGACCCACGCCTGCGAGCCCTGATATGTAGCCGTTGCGTCCAGTTTGAGAAATCCGTCCGCAGAAGCCTGGTACACTGGTACCCGACATCTCCAATGCTTTCTTTCTCCTCCCGACTTATCCTCTCTTGAATGTTTAATGCGGCCTTCTCCATGAACAAGAAGGTATCCCAAGGAGGCCGCCCACGCGCACAACAGCAGGTGAGTTAGGTTGAACTATGCAGGCGCCCCGACCGCTTGGGCGTGTCTGCCTGTCTGGGCACATACATTTACTCACTGAGTAAATGCCGGGATGTCTTTCAACAACACTGACCGTTCGACTGCTTGCGCTTTTCGCGTTGGCTTGTGCAAGGCGTGCTGGTACGCTCGTATAAACTTGACTGCCTGGCACCTTGGACTGGGCTGTGAGTGAATCAAAGCCTGCGTCATTCGGGTTCTGAGATTGATGAGAAAGAGGTTCCTTCATTTCAGGTCAGGCCCATACGGGTGGCCTGGGATTCTGCGTTCCAGCTTCGGTCTCCCCCCGCCTGGCCCGCAGGGCGCACGCAAAGGGCGCCGCAAACTTTCGTTGCGAGGATGATGTGGGCGTCTGTCGCCTTGGCGAATCTCCCTTGGCATGTCGACGCAAGCCATAATCGCCCACGCGGAGATGCCAGGCAGTCGCTGACAAGATTGTGTGCCAAGTGCGGCGCCATTGCGGCGCGATTGCGGCGACCCCGGCCATGTCGTCTGGCGCACTGCGGCCATCCTCCGCCAAGCCGCGACCAAATCCTCCTTAGATTAGGGGCAGAAGAAACTTGCGGTGAGAGACATATATGCTACTTCTGCGCTCCTTCCCCAGCCAGGCAATTGACTGGGCAGAACGCTGCCAAGTTGCCGGCAGCCCTCCATGGCATCCGCAGCAGGGAGGACGCCCTCCTTTGTGAACACAGGCGCCTGCTTCCAGGTCTCCAGCCTCGAAAAAAAGCTTTGACAAACGGTGAAAAGTGCCGCTGCGCACCTGTCTGGCATGCTCACGGCGTCCTCCAGCTGCTCGTCAAGATTTTTGAAGTCGTCGATCCAGCAAGGCGCCTCAGGCACAGTTCCTGCAAGCCAGCGCTCACCTTCGCGCCTCAGGCAGCCTCCCGCGGAGAGCCTCACGCGTTGCAAATAATTCATGGCAAGACTTGGCATGTCCAGCCTGACTGACGCGGAGAAGGCGGAGGACAATCAAGAGAATCAAGAACAGACTTGAAGAGCCTGGCTGGCCTTAGGCCCGCCACATACGCCGAAAATATTGGCTGCGTTGTCCCCGGCCTGAGGCCCTTGACTTCGAATGTCCTGGAGTTGTGTGCTCTCTTTGTTGTTTTTTGTTTTTCCCCGCCCGACAGGAAGGGGTTGTTAGATTTTATGTTGGAATCCGCGTTTGCGATGCTTCTACACCACGCCCCCACCCAGTATCCCGCCAGAGCAGCTCGCCAGTGGATCCCGCCGAGTGTCCCGCCAGCGGAGCTTGCCAGTGGATCCCGCCGAGTATCCCGCCAGAGCGTCTCGCCAGTGGATCCCGCCCAGTATCCCGCCAGAGCAGCTGGCCAGTGGATCCCGCCGAGTATCCCGCTGAGTGTCAGAGTAGCCCGCCAAGTATCGAGTGTCCCGCCAGCGGAGCTTGCCAGTGGATCCCGCCGAGTACCGCCAGAGCAGCTGGCCAGTGGATCCCGCCGAGTATCCCGCTGAGTGTCAGAGTAGCTCGCCAGTGGGTCCCGCCGAGTATCCCGTAGCTTGCCAAGTAGCTTGCCAGTCGATCCCGCCGAGATCCGCCAAGTATCCTGCCAAACGAGCTGGAGCGGCTCGCCAGCATTCGCCAGTGGATCGCGCCAGTATCCCGCCAGAGCAGCTCGCCAGTCTGGTTTTGCTTAATGCCCCGTCCGGTGCACAGTTGGGTTTACATTTCATGTTGGTGCCTTCGTGTTTTGAGTGTGCCCTGAGGCTCGGAAAGGGTGATGCTTTTGTGTTGCTTTGGGCTGTGAATAAGCAACTTCGTTTAATCCTCCGCCGGGTTTCTTTTTTTGAAGGGCCTTGGCTTTTGTTAACGGAACGGATGTTTGAGTTCTCGAGAACCCTGAAAACCCTGAACACCCTGAGCACCCTGAACACCCTGAACACCCTGAACACCCTGAACACCCTGAACACCCTGAACACCCTGAAAACCCTCAAAACCCTGAACACCCTGAGCACCCTCAACAAACACCTCAACATTCTGAACACCCTGAACACCCTGAACACCCTGAACACCCTGAAAATCCTGAAAATCCTGCACACCCTGAACACCCTGAACACACACTGAACACACCCTGAAAACACCCTGAACACCCTGCAAACCCTGAACACCCTGAACACGCTGAACACCCTGAACACCCTCAAAACCCTGAACATACTGAAAACCCTGAACACCCTGAACAGCCTGAACACCCTGAACACCCGAAAATACTCCGCAAATTGCCCCAAAAAAGCTTCCTCAGGTGGGTGGGTATGTTTGTTGGCTTCATTTTGTGTGGAGTGATGGGAACCCCTGGATGAAAACTCTTGGGGGGGGGTCCTGGGTTTAGTGGGGAGTGAAACCTAGGTCCTCCAGTAGAGAGGTTAGAATAAGGGTACCAACCCTTTTTCTGTGGTCTATTTTAGTAAGGGAGCCGAATCTCCCACCCAAAAAAGAAACGGGTGAGAGGCCGGGCACCTTTTCGTGGGGGGGACCTAGAACCCAGCGAGTTCTTGGGGGCCAGGCTGGGGCAGGGAACATGACCAGCCAAGCTTCAGGTCCAAAGGCCTGGGGGAAGTCAGAAGCTGGGGCAGAAGGAATCGGCAAACCCCACCCCCGGCAACTGGCGCAAAGCAGTTCTTAACAGAAGCCGCAAAGGGCACAGGGATTTTTGTCAGATTTGAGGGTCCCGAAAAAAATGTACACTTGTAGGGACCCTCGAAAACATTCAAATTTGAGGGGCCTGAGGCGGTTTTGGTTGGAATGAGCGGGGTGAAGAAGGGAGCAAACCAGACCCCTTCACCCCTTTTGGCACCCATTTTGGCACCCCGGCAGAGTCCGGCTCCTGTCCTGCTCGCTCGCATTGCTGTCTCAGCCTCGGAAACATCTGCTTCGTGTGACCCACTTGCAAGCTCCAACTGCTCACCCTGGGCAAGAGCCCAGGTGGCTAACCACTTCGGAACATCCAAGGGTGTCCCTTTTCTTTTCGGGACCCCGCAGTCTCCTTCTGACCCTTGAAACAAAATCATGGGGTCACCCTCTGTTCTTGGGGGAATGACACCGTTTTCCTACCGTATGGAGACTCCGGGAACCCCTTTTTTGGAATGGGAAAGTAAGCCAAAACGCAGCGGACACCTTCCCATTGCCAAGACTCAGAAAAATGGGTCACCTGGGGCCACAAAAATCGGACCCCGCACCCATCTTCTGCTTTTTGCTCACCAAGGGGATTTTGGACGTGGGGAAAAGCAGGGAAAGGTGCTGGAAAAGGGGAAACTACTAGGGTAGACCCGGTCGATTCGCGACTTAGACCCCCAGCAAAAAGTGACGTCGTCTTGCAGTTATGGGTTCCTATACAAAACCATTGCTTGCTTGGTTGGGATTCATAAAAACTCACCCGCATGTCCTTTTCGACACAAAATATATGGATTTCCCTGGTAGATGAATTTTCACCACCAGGCTTTTCGCCCAAGCCCGAACCCATTTTTCAACCAAACGGTTACCAAAAAGGACACCGAGCTCAAACCCACTGCGCCCTCTAGTGTTCGCTTTTCGTCGCTTTTCGTCGCTTGCTCGATGGCGATGGCGACTCGGTGCCCTGCCGGTCGATCTCCGACTTCAAGGACTTGGCCACATCATACTCCTCCCACCCAGTTTCCCCCCTCTTGGGCCTCCGTCTGCATTGTTCACCTCCTGGAAAACAACAATATAAGATGTTTCCAGCGGTATTGAAAACAAATATGTTTCCAGTAGTGAAATCGAGTCCCTCTAAGACTCTAAAACCACCAGGGGAACGTCAAATATAAGAAACAAAACATATTCTTGCAGCAAGTGGAAGTTGGTGGTTTTGAGCCGAAGCGGTGGTTTGGAGGCGCTTCGGGGGTGGTTTCCCATTTACACTCCAGAAGGACCAGGGGTTCAAATCGAATTCCAAACAAATTCAAACACCAATTGAGGGGTACCTGACTCATTGGCCGAATGACCTTGTTGCTTCCCAAAGTGGCCTTCCGAATATCTTCTTCCCAAAATGGTCCTCCCCAAAATTGCCTAAGAAAGTGGTCTTGACCTTTCCCTCCTTCCTTTTGGTTTCCCATGGCTTCCCTCTAAAGTGGTGTGGTTTTGGAGGGTTGCTTCCCAATACCCCCCACTATGCTAAAAGAACATTTTGGGAAGAGGACACGCCGGCCATCTGAGGCTAGCGTGCAAGCCTTCTCACTTGAGTGGATGGACCAGGAAAAGTCCTGGAACTTCTTGTAGGCCATATGGGTATGGCTCAAAATTAAAGAGCTGGGGTTACGCGGGTTTTAGTCTTTGGTTCCATTTACCAGGGTTCCATTTTGGTACCGGGTTTTTGAGCCACGGCCATATGGTCATACCAAAAGTGACTAAAGTCCCGTTTACGGACCTCAGGGACTCAGGAAGTGAGCCGTGGCTCGCAATGACGGGTCTTGCCAAACATAAACTGAACCAACAAAGCAAAACCAAGAAGGAAGAACTGCAACAATCCCAACAAAGCAAAACCAAAAAGGAAGAACTGCAACAATCAAGTTCACCAAACAAAAGAAAGGACTTGTTCAATCCAAACTGCAGGTTTGACAGCGGGGAACTGCTAAGCAAGCGCTCCTCATTCTCCACCGCCACCTTCTTCTGCTCCTTGGCTCAACATTCCAGTCGCATGCCACGGGATGGTGATAACCCACATGGACCCTGAAAAAACCCGAAGAAACATGGGACGAAGATGGGGCGAGTCCTTGTAGGGGAAGCCTCAGGATCTACCTTACAGACCAAAAAAAAACACATAATACCACTCGATGTTGGATGGAACTTGCGCGCCTCTTGGAACTTATGTGGACAGGTGCACAGAACCAGCATACGAAACAGCAGCACTGCTCCGGAATCCTCAGTCAAGCTGTGCGTGTCATCTGTTTCCATACTAGAAAACAAGGGAACAATTGTTTGTTTGGTCGAATTGTTGCTTACCACAAGCTACAAAATCACCAACAAAGGGAAAGTGTACCAGTATCATCCGAAGGCTGCGTTTGCCAAGTGCTACAAAGAGGTTAGACCAGCAACAAAAAAGCGGCTAGGGCTGGGTGGTCCTAATGTGATCCCAAAAGTTCATGTCTTCTTGAACACACTGACTGCGAGTCACTGACTTCTTCCGAAAATGGGCAAATGATTGGCATGTTGGTCGCGAGATAACAAACTTACTTTGACAATGAACGCGGACGCCCAAAAAGGGAAAGGAGCCACAGACCCAACATTCAGCTTCCCTCCAACTAGAGGTTTCCCATCTACCCTCTACAAGAAGCAGGGTTCAAATCCCCAAACCACCCGACTCCAAACCACCAACTAAGGGTAACCTGAAACATGGAGACATAGAAGGGCCCAAGACGCCAGTCGCATTGACAGCACAGAGGCTTTGCTTGGCCGAAAGAGTCTGAAGCAACGGGATGGCCCAGGACCGGTGACCCACTCCAATGCGCGGTTCGAAGAGTGTACCGAGCGAAGCGCGAAGACGCTGTCCACCTGGAGTCTCCTTCTGACCCTAAAAACATGGTTGGTCATTACCCAAAATTAAGGGGTCATGGACCCATTTTTTAAGGGTCAGAGGGAGACTCTAGGCACTTGTTTCCTGCCGCGTCTGAGCCTTACAGATCACTTCCGCTGAGCTCTCGAGAAATTGGCGCGCCCCACTCCGCCACTCCGTCCGCCCCACTCTGCCTGCCGCATTCTCCGCCACAAGGGGGGGTCTTTTCCTTCCGTTCAAGCACCGTATTGGCGGGAAAAAACAAGAATCAGGAGCGCAAAACCTCCCAGGGTCGATGCCAGCAAGGCACCCAACCAGCTGGAGTGAGAAGGCACCCAACCAGCTTGCACCCCAACCTCCAACTAGCGGACCAACCAGCACTGGAGCCACGAAGGCGTGCAGCCTCAGCAAAGAGACTTAGGCAGAACCGTCTCAGCGGAAAAACAAATAAAAATCCGCCGTCGCCATGGTCAGCCGCGAAACGCGAAAAACGCGAAAAACGCCCACACTGCCGAGCCCCGAGCTTCGCTCCCGACAGCACTGTGTGAAATGGAATGACCACTTCCGTACAACAAAAAGGGCCTCAAGACTCAGCCCGCCATAAGAGGGGATTCCCTTGCACAGTGGGGCTAAAATGTTGACCTATTCATACGGTGTCTCTGGGTGTAGTGGGGAATCTGATCACTTTTGGAGAGGGAAACCCCCCCCCCCTACTACAAAAAACTGGTTGGTTGAGTAGTATGGGGTCAGCACTGCCCCAGTCCTCAAATAATTTTCGAGGTTTCGGGTCTTTAGGCAAGTCCCTTTCCAAACCTCTCCCGCACAAACCCGAGCCGTCGACCTTCCGCCAACCCGTCCGAGCCGCTTCCAGGTCGCAGATCGTTAGGCCTGGAACCATACGAGAAAGAACAAGGACCTGCTCTTCCCACATGAAAACCTCTCGGTCCCCCTCGCTCGAAAACACAAATGACATGCAACCCAAATGAAATACAATCCAAATGACATGCAACCTACATGGGGATGTGTTGTGTCAGCTTAGAACCACCAAACAAAGGGTACCTTCAAAAAGAGATCGACCCAATATGAAATGTGACCCAAGGTCAGAAAAGTCTACCCATCTCTAATCTTGGTATGGTAGCTAAAAACTGTGGTTTTTGCAGACCCCCAGTAAAAATGAACAGAACCAAAAAACTAAAAAACCAAAAAACACGCCAAGAACAGTGAAGTACCTTTACCCGAAGGGCTGCCCCTTCATTGCAAACCCCTGAGCCCTCCAATGGAGAACCCATCCCACCTTTTTCCGCCCTGAAAAGTATGCATGAGTGACGACCCCCAAAAAACCGAAACCTTCCAGCACCCTCCGACTACCGTCTAAATTTTATCTTCGGAACTACCGGGTATTTGGCAGTAGTTCCGAAAATAACATAAACGACAGTAGATCCGCGATCTACGGTCGTTTCATGTTGCCCCAAATAATGAAAAACAAGACCACGGGGTGACACGGTGACATGGGGTGACACACAGGCGACACGGGGTGACACGCAGGCGACACGGGGTGACACGGGGGCGACACGGGGCGACACGGGGGCGACACGGGGGCGACACGGAGCGAAACGGGGGCGACACGGGGGCGTCACGGGGTGACACGCTCAAACGACAGTAGTTCGCAGCGATCTACTGTCGTTCTGGGGGTGGCGACACGGGGGCGACACGGGGTGACACAGGGGCGACACGGGGGCGACACGGGGTGACACGCAGGTGACACGCAGGTGACACGGGGTGGCAGGGGGTGACACGCTGTGAGGCGCTTGCTGCACTTGCTGCCACCCCTTGATTGCCACCACCCCCGCTATGGCATCTCCCCGCTGTAAACAGTAGCTAGCAGTACTTAGACTATGGGCATCCCACAAATAAAATATTTGACAGTAGTTTTTCTATCTACGGTCGTTTTTTGGGAAATTTCTATCTACTGCCGCTTGGGCAGTAGTCGGAGGGTGCTGGTTTGGTTTAGATCCGGCTCCGATCCTAATCCTTAATCCCTAGCAAAGAAAGCACTCTCAAGGTCCCCCCTTTACCAAAACCAGTGGATTGGGGGTTCGGGTTGTTTCCCATTTACCCTCCGCAAGAACCAGGGGGTCAAATTCCCACCACCCTTCAACAATGAGCACTTCCACCAGTTGACCAAGGAGTATTCTGTAGAGTGCAAGGACATCCACAAATTGGATCCGGACTTAGTACCCGTCTTCCCCTTTCAAAAAGGGCAAATGGACCGAATGCAATTCCAGGCGTCGCCCCCCCTGCCCCCATTCCAAGTGGGGATCGGCGGCCCCTACAGCTGAAGGCCTTTGAACAGTCCATGGAGGCGGTTCAAAACTCAGGGCTTTGGAGGTTTAAACTTTGGATGATGAGAACAAATACATGTTCGACAGTTTGAGGCTTTGGTTTCGGACAAGAGCTCCTTCTTGCTCCTCATATGTCTTAACGTCTTCTGAAACCTGCAGGCATGCATGCGCAAGCCTAGGGAGCAGTCGAAAAGTGCACTTGATCACATTGATATGTGTACCCAAGAGATCCTTTAGGGTGGTTCACGTGTCGCAGCTTTAGGAGCAGGTTTAAGTTCAATTGCCGCAACCAACTTGGGGACCCCTTGTTGTAGTATGTTTAAACCATTGTTGCTTGAAGAACCTCCTTTTGGTGGCCTTTCAACGGGAACCAGGCTCTGTTGAAACATTTTTGCCACCAACCCTGGACTGGAATTCTGAAGCTGAAACCCTGCCCGGCGAACCGACCGCGCGGACGGTCTTCCGAATTCTCCGTGGCGCCTGTCTTCCGCAACATGAGGATGGCCTCCTTGCACCGCTTGGCGCCTGTGTAGTCCTGATGGGAGCCGTTTGGCCGAAAGAAAGCAGCCAAGGGATTTCCCCTACATATGAGGGGGTCTGATTTCCAAATTCCAAGGAAAGAAAGCAGCCAAGTAAAGGATTCAGGATTGCCTTTGGACAGCTTCCCTCTGATCGATTTGGAGCTAGCGGGATGTGCAAGGATTCCCTGCAAACGAAACCATGTCTACATATTATCCGAGAAATATGTCCACATCCCTGCTTCCCCGGTATCGCTGCTTCTTTGTTCCGATAAGCCCAAACTGAAACGACTTCCTCGAATCGTGTGAATCAATTTATGATTGCGTTGTGTAAAGTTGAAAAGACAATGAATCGCCAAAGATACGGTTTACTGTAATGGTGAAACTTAAAGGCAACCACAAGGGATGGTGTATAAGGGTTATTCCCTCATTCCCTGCCAGCGAGTCTTTGTCAGATCAACCCAAACTGAAACTGAGGGCATATTTCCAGTAGTGATAATTGATTCCCTTTAAAATCAACAAGGGAATATCTCACATTTGTTCTTCAGCAAATGAGTGAATGACCCCTATAGACCATCACCCATGGCTTCCTTTAAGGGAATCCCCGGGTTCATTCCCTCATTCCCTGATGAGCACCAGCAAGTACTGTAATCCAAACCACCCGCTAAGGGTTCAGGTGAATGGGCTATCAAGGGCTGTATGGCAGTCCCCAAAGCGAATGCTTGACACGCACGATTCTCCGCGACCTATGGAGTGATTATTGGAAGGCCAAGGGTACCATGGAGTGATACTGCGGATGGTCGCGACATCCGGTCGCGCCACTTTGTGCAAGGTTGAACCATCAGGTTTGTTGGTATTTGGCTGTGGCTCAAAAGACCGGTACCAAGATGGAACCCTGGTAAGTGGAAACATGGACCAAAACCTGCGTAACCCCTCCTTTTTGATGTTGAGCCACACCCATTTACCAGGGGAATCGAGTCACTCCAGGGTTTCTGAACGGTGGGTTTCCTCGATCGACTGCTCACGGAGTCCTCCGAATCTACGCACTGCTGCTTCTCAAGGACCAAGCCCTTGAGTCGCTCCAGCGTCCGCACCTCAGCGTTTGAAGCGCCGAAAGGCGTGGGCGAAAGGGGGGGAAGTCTCCAACGCACGGGGCTTACAGGGGTGTCGGAGGTGGTTTGCAGGGGGTTTACGAAAATGACGCCAGGCATGGTGAAATTGGAGGAGGGTTGCTTGGTTTTGGTCGCCCACTGGGCCATGATTCCAAACTTCGGTGATCGAAACAATCAAATGACCTCATGGATGTACCTCATTTTTGTTTTTTGTGGATGGGCCAAGAGAAAGAACCCACTTTGTACCACCGAAATGGTAGGGAGATACTTAGACCCTGTACCCGAAGAGTGTTCCAGGCTGGTCCTCGGGTTTGCCAGCTTCGCAGGTTCGGGTCCGAAGCTGCAGGAAGATCTGCTACACAATGATGTCATCGTTTGAGGATGCTTCTCTTCGTCAAAAAGAAAGAAAGTAGAAGCTGCTTGTGAGGTACGCTAAGGCCAACTTAGGTCATGATCATAGAAGTGAATGGTTAGCAACTGCTGAGCCCAATACATTTTACGGTGCGTTGAACAAGAACCTCTTGGTTGACGTTGGAAGGGGAGAAAAAAATAAATTGTTAGCAGTTAAGTGGGGATTTCCCACTAAACCACAATAAGCAAAAACATGTAAAATGTTTCCCAAGAACAACCATGACCTGGGTGAATCCAGAGTTTACGGGTCGCTACCAACATGAGTTGGACATCCGATTCAATGGAATTTGACATGAAGCCCCAGGGGGCCAAGACCTGAGTATTCCGGCAAAAAAAAGGGTACCATATATACATACCTAGTCTCCATGATCCTTAAAAAATGGGTCCATGACCCCTTAATTTTGGGTAATGACCCCATCTTTTAAGGGTCATGGAGACTCCAGGTATGTATTTATAATATATATATATATATACACATAAACACATACTTGTATATCTTTGTATATACTGGCTTTTGACGCCCAAAGGCCTTTCACATGGCGTTGGGCCCCTTGGATCGCAGTGAATGGGAGTCCGGGAACTGAACCGGCAATAAGCCAGCACTGGGCCAAGCGCTTAAGCAGAAAGACAAGCGCAACACCAACATACAAACATAGGCTCTGTGTACATACATACATATATATATATATATACGCATTGTCAAAAGTATATGAACACACGTAAACAAACAAATACCTCATCCCGTGCTTCATTTTTCAACCCAAAAATGGCCGCCCCCACACACCCCACCTTTCTCGGGCTTGAGAGCCCGGCATCGTACTTGGCCTCGTCCAAGTCTGCCAAGTCACTGGTGACCTGGACTCCAAACGCCATGGGGTTAAAAAAGCTGAGCCACTTTACTGCTTCCCGCGCCACGCACAACGCGAGAGATATGCTGGGGGGGTCCCAAAAAATAGACAGACCCTCATCCACTGCCAGGTGAAAAGATTTCCCTGGTCGACATTACTGCAGATAGATGTGATCCAGCATGGGTATCAATAATTCCTTTAGAACCCTTGGCATGGTAGCACACACCTTTGTTTTTGCAGCCCCCTCAAAAATGAACTCTGAACAGAACCAACACACCTTCAAACTAAAAGAGTGAACATGTCGACGACAGTGATGATTCAACAAGGGACCCAAGAAGCCAATGATTTAAGTGGTGATGCATGTCCACTTGTGAGGCGGTTCCAACTCTTAAAATCGGCCATGGATGATCCACCAAAGGGGGATGTTCATGGGCAAACCCAAGCCTTTCTTATTCTGGGATGGACAAATGGGTGTGTCTTTCTTTTAGAGGCCCGCCCAAATTCGTACCTTTTGGTTTCCCTTGAAAGCCGCGACAACTAGGCCCAGGTGGTATCCCTGAAAGCCCGGAACCCCCTGCAACCCTCTGGACCCCGCCCTTTGAGCAAAAACATGGGTGTCCGTTGGGGGAGAATACATGGCCCCTGGTAGATGATGAAACAACCAGGTCAACCAGGGCCATCCATGTTCACCAAAGAGGACCCCAATGTTCACAAACAGACCCAAATCTTGGCTCATGCACTGCTGCGTGGTGTAGAGTGTGTCCAGCAAGAGGCAATCACGGATCCATTTGGCCATCCTACGAAAGGACTGCAAACCAGCACTACTTCAACAATTGCTGCATCAACAACTGCTTCTTGGACAGTACTTGGGGGAAACTTCTCACACCAAAAGGGGAGACAAGAGCAGGCCAACGTTTCAGAGAGGTTCCAAGACTTGCGAGAATGCTGTGGTTGAAAAGCTTTGGGTGTGTCTCCAAACTGGCAACCCCCAAAATGGAACCCGCTTTGATTTCTTTAGGCAGCCCTTTCAAACAATACAAATATGAATCCGGAAGAAACATCATCTACTGCTTTCCTGATCAAGAGGCGGACAAACAAAGCATGTGTAAAAAGTACGAATGCAACCCACTCATTCGGAGGGCAGTCAAACTACATTTGTTGACACATATCTCCTCTTCAGGGACCCTGCAAACCACCCCCCGCAAACGGGCTCTCTTCAGCCTCGTTGAAGGCTCAAGGCCTCTAAGCGACTCGGCTGGAACTAGGGCCCCAGCAAAAAATCGAATATTGTTTTGCCTGGCTAGCGGAAAACAACAAAAGGTGACCCCCAAAAATCAAAGAAACCAACGGGAGCTGATTTTGGGAAAGTTTAGAAACAACACATGTTCCCGTGTTCCCTGTCAGAATTATTCTTTAAACAGCCTCCCTTTTAGTTTCCCCTTGAAGCAAACGACCTTCTGGTTGCTCAAACAAAGTCCGTCAGCCAGCCACCTCCCAGTGGCGCACCCGGCTGATGCTCGGCTGGACAGCCCGGGGCGTGGTGGTCGGCCTCAGCGGAAAGGTTGACGCTTCGACTGACGCAGAGCTGTCCCACGCGAGGCCATCTCACAGAACTTGGCAGGTACTCACCTAGGTCCTCTAGTAGAGGGGTTAGAATAAGTTGGTACCAGCGTGTTTCCTTTTTAGTCTATTTTAGTAGGGGAACCCTCCCCAAAAAACAAGGCAAAAGGGCACTACTGGAGGACCTAGTCACAGGACTTTGCGGCCACATGTCTTAGCCATCTCAAATGATTTCGGAGGAATCTGATGGAGTTGTCAGCTATCCCCAATTCTTTGGAGCCTCTAGCTCTCCCCAGTTGTTTTCTTTTGTCGGAGGCATGCTTGGAAAAACCTGGAACTGACATATGTCTGCATCACAGTTGAACTTCAGGCGCACGCAAAGCCAACTATTCCCTTTAACAGTGGGGTTTACACATGTCAATGGTCACTGGGCAAATGTATATAGGGAAGACTTGCCCAACGCTTGGCCCAACGCATTGGTTAGTGACCGTCTTGGATATAAATGGTTGGGGGCGTTTGATGACTTCCTGGGAGAATATTCTTGAGAAATGGCCCAAGCCCGAACATATTTCCACCAGAAACCGATAGTATCGGGGACTGTCCAATTGCCATGTCAACCTACAAAACAGGTCGGGGCCAAACGAAAACCGGCACTCAGTTCGCCCAAAGAAGCAAGACATGAGAGGTGACCATAATTTTTGGGGCCATGACTAACAATGGACCAAGCCAGGCAAACCCAAAAGTTCTGGTTGCTCCTGTCTGCGAGATTCGGCAAGGGCTGACACGCAAAACACGTTGGCCGGTCCCAAGCTTGGGATCCAATTCTCTCCCCCGGCAAATTGACATGGAACAAATCCAAGAGATGCTCCTGGGTTCAGACGCGGGTGAAGACATGCGCGCAATGTTTTTGGCGAAGCTTGAAGCAGCTTCTTGTGGGGCAACCGCGGGCTTCACTTACAACGCGAGCGGAGAACAAGGTTGCCGCTGAGCCACTTGCATGTTGCTTGATCCGACAGCCTTCCTCAGATTCTGCTCTGCCCCTTCTCTTTGGTGGCTTCGTGCGCTCTGGTCGTCCAAAAGCTGCAACGGGCTGTCGATTCCATGCACGGGCAGCCAGAATCCATTTCCCTAATCTGAGACAGAATTCTACAAAGTGTTGGGGTGCCTCCGGAAAAGCAACCAACCAGAAACCGACCAGGTTTCGGGGGGCGGGGTTGGAAATACTCATCTCCAAATGAATGTGTGTTGGAATAGGGTCCTAGAATGGTGGTGTTCCTTTGGTTTCCCATTAATTCCGCTCCAAAATGAATGAATACCCTCAAAAAGACACATCCCCACCTATGACTGAGCCCGCGGCGGCTGCACAGGTTGGGGCTCTCGTACGGAGGGAGGCTCTCGTACGGAGGGAGGCTCTCGTACAGAGGGAGGCTCTCGTACGGAGGGCGGCTCTCGTGTGGGTGGGGGCTCTCGCGCGGGCGGGTGCGGTGCGGGATCTGGAGGAGCCTGCGAGGGAGCACTTCCGATTTGCGCCCCCGTGTTTCACCACAAGCAACATCTAGGTCCTCCAGTAGAGAGGTTAGAACAAGGGTGTACCAACTTTTTCTACTTTTTTCCTTTTTGTTCATTTTAGTCGGGGAACCCTTGAAAACCAACCAAAAAATGAACGGTGAAGGTTGCACCACTGGCTGGGGGACCTAGACATGTAGTCCCAGAGGCTCACTGGTGTGGGCCGGGAGCTTGAATGAGTCTCCCATCTCCCTCTCCATTTGACATGTCCCTCTCCATTTGACATGTCCCTCTCCATTTGACCGTAGACCAACCGTGATATGTTGACCACACTTGAACGTGGGTGTGTTCTGTGGAGAATGCGTTGTTGCTTGTTCCCTTCGTTTTTCCGAAGGCGCATTTGCTTTCTGGACACCACAGGAAGGCGACCTCATTTTGGTGGGCCTCCCTGTGAAGGATCGTCAGCTCATTTTCTGGCCGCCAAGCCCAGCGCGCGAAACAAAACCAGAGCCATGGTGGGACTGTCGTGCCTGCCTTGAAGGGCGTTGGACTGGACAAAATCTCTAAAAACCACCTGCCTAGTGATTCCCTGTAAATACCAATAAGCAATGGTTTTGGAGGTGCAGGATTTCGTCCATCCACTGTATCCCTTTAAACCAGCAGGTTTAACATCACCTTCAGAAAATTGGAAGTGTTCAAGGGGGCTGACAAAAGCACATGGAAGATTTCGTCCCTGGAGCCCGCCTTTTGAGAAAAGAGGCGGGGGCCCTTCAAATGTTTGCCCTCCATAAAGGGAACAGCTCGGAGGCATCCCTTTGTTGGGGACACCCCCCGCGTCCTTTCTTCAATCCAATCCTTGGGTGGTTCGGCCAACGTTAGAAAGCTGTCGGGAGGCCGCTAACCCGCTTTTGGTGGGTGATCCAAGCGGTCAAGCGCGCACTCCAAGTGGCCAACGTGGCCAAACACGTATTTCGACCCCCGGTCCAAAAATGAATATCACAAGCCCCGCAATATATCCTCAACAGTCCCGGAACCCACGGGAACCTCCGGAAGCCTGGAAGCTGCCCCCTTCCGAGCCTGCTCCACAACTGCCTCAGCGCGAGAGGGTATCTTACTTGGGCTATTCTCAAAATGGCCCTGGGAGCAAAAGATGTGAAACCGTTTTTTGGGAATGACCATTTGTACTGGCCCCAAACCCGCCAAAGGAAGAAGCGTGCCACCAAACAACGAGGGTGGGCTTCCTTCTGTTTTTTCGTCCTGCAAAACCAAAAACGGGCTGCCCCAAACACACAGCCACACATACACACAAATGTGGGTTGAAAGGGAGAACTTTCTCCACAGTCCCATTCTCGGTCAGCGGTTCTTGAGTGGACTGGCCAAAAAAAGTCCAAACTTGCTGTGTGCCACTAACATGGGTTTTCTCAAACAAGTATACAGTCCAGGAACTCAGAAAGTGGGTGGCAATGTCTACCACGGAATCCGGACTAGCTTTCTCCAGAAAATTGGAGGTTATCTCCACCCTCTGACTATTGTCACTTTCAAGGGGATCCATTTTGGAAAAAAGAACGTGGGATGGGTGTTTCTCAAAATACAGAATCCCTAAAACAACTAGCTTCTTTTGGATCCCCCGTGAAACCATGCCAAAAGGGTATTTACCTTTTTGAGAAACTTCCACATCCACAAAAGGTGTCATTTCTCGAGCCTTCCTTTTTGTGGGATACTGTAAAGGGAAACCAAAGGAATTAAAACCATCCATTTAGGCATGTCTCAAAATAGTGCATGGGGTGCCCAATGTCGAGAAACACCAATTTTTCTCAGCTTCTTCTTAGTTGATGGTTTGGATTGAATTGGTGGTTTGGTGACAAGGGGTGACCATCCCATTTACCCCAAGTAAGGGTTGCCTGAATTTGGGGGGTCCCGGACATTCATGTGTGTGTGTGTGTTTTTTTTTGGGGGGGAACCCTTTGCTTGTGCGCGAACATGTTGTTTTTCTTGGTTGGGGGGGGGTCCCCCAAAACAGACACACCCCATTCTAGGGCTACCTTCCCCATTCTTTCCAGGGATCCTTCTTTTCAGGAATCCATCCAAAAACCCGGGGAAAACAGCCGTTTTTTTGAAAAGAGCCATGGTTGAAAAGACTGGAGAATCAACCCCTAGACCCATGCTGCAACACACAGGTCGCACCAAGACGTGTTTCGTCCCGCCTTCGGAGCCGCGGCCACGGGAGCTGCCAGGGGCGGAGATGCCAGGGGCACAACGGCAGGCGCCTGCAAAAGGACAAAATGCCCGCCGGAGCCAAGAAATTTGGCCCAAACTCGTGTTCTTTTTGGGTGGGTATCTGTCCAAGCAAGAATTGATCGTGTTCTTTTTTTGGGTGGGTGTCTGTCCAAGTGCCACGAATTCCTGCTTGATCTAACCCCGGATAAGTCAACCAGCGGAGAGGGGTTCCTACCCAAATGCGAGGGATATTTTTTTGGGACCCCTGTAAACCCCGAGATACCCCCATTAAGGAACTGGGGTTCATTCGTACGGGCTCAACATTAACCATTATCATAAATGTGCCAATCAGGCCAAAATCGCATATTTATAGGCTGGGCCATTGTCCCTTGAGGCCCTTGAACAGCGATTCCCTTTAAGCTTTGCAGAGTGACCTTATGCGATTCTCCACCAAGAACAACCAGTATCACGTACTTGCCCAGTCGTCATAAACAAAAAATACCGTTCGTGTTGAACAAAGCCCACCCAAACACAGGCAAAACACAATGAAATTGCGGGCTTCCCTGCGACATGACCCCATAAGGGTTCACACATATTGGCGCAGCCACTCATGCTGGTCCTTTTACCGATTCCATACCAACCGCCTCTGCCTGTTTGTGGAAAGCGGGAACCTAGACATTACCAGTAGATCCATTTGATTAAGCCCGCTGGAGAAAAAAACACATTTTCAGTAGCAATTGTGATTCTCTTTAAAAACCAACAGGGGAAAGTAAACCAAACATACTTTTCTTATTCCAGCAACTGGAAGAAATTAGATCCACTTCTCTGGCCGTTTTGGGAAAATGCAAACCATGCTCCCTTCAGCAAACGGAAGATATTAGATCCACTTCGCCGCATAAACCTAGGTCCTCCAGTAGAGAGGCTAGAATAAGGGTACCAACTTTTGTCTGTAGTCTATTTTAGCAGGGGAACCGAGTCTCCCCACCCAAAAAAGAAACGGGAGAGGTCGGGCACTGGGGGACCTAGAAACAGTTTTGTGGGGCGTCCAATTCAGCTCATCTGTGCCGCTCCTCCTTGGCAGCCTCCAGGCTCGGGCCCACGACCTGCAAAGAAGGCGCCGCTTTTGAGCGCGCGACCGCAACCCGAAGCTCCAGAAATGCGAATGGCTTTGCGCCTTTACTCACTTTGCGGCCTGGATTGGCCTCAAAACAAATAACAACAAGTCCACTAAGAGTGTCTTGGAGTCTCCTGGAGTCTCTAAAATGGGGTCATGACCCCTTGGGCAATAGCCCCTATTTTGTAAGGGTCAGAAGGAGACTCC